CAAGCTCACTGTCACCGGCAGGAACAAGTATGAAATCATGATCTGGTTGGCCGCTTTCGGTGGTGCTGGTCCCATCTCCAGCACAGGTAAGGCCATCGCCACGGTGACCATCGGCAGCTATAACTTCAAGCTGTACAAGGGCCCGAATGGTAGCACCACCGTCTTCTCCTTCGGCGCCACAAAGACCATCACAAACTTCTCCGCTGATCTGCTCGACTTCCTCACGAAGAAGCAGGCGTTCGCTTCCAGTCAGTACCTCACCACGTCGGAGGCTGGCACGGAGCCGTTCACGGGATCAAACGCTAAGATGACCGTGTCGTCGTACTCAGCCGCTGTCGAATACTGATGAAGGTACGTAGAGATAAGCTAGACTCTGACAGTCAGCAACAGCAAGTGCCTGCTTGTTAGCTTGTATTTCTTGAGAGTGAGCTGAGCTCTTAGTTCTTCTTAGTCCCTTTCTCACACTAACTGTCATACACAACATACACACAAAGCTAACCGTGGGGATCAATACACTCAACTTCACCACAGCCCCACCTATTGATATCCATATCGTGCTTTGTGTTGTTATACGCTTTCTCTGTTATACTCCTTCTCCGACATCAGCCCCATTGCCGCACGATGCGTTTCAAATTTAACTCTGGTCAACGGCTTAGTGAAAGCATCGGCAATACACATCTCCAGGAACTCTCAACACATCAATTTGTTGCAGCTTCACACGCTCTCGCACAAAATGGTGTCGTACATCAATATGTTTTGTACGATTGTGAAACTCAGGATTTTTGGCCAACTTCTTAGCGCTCATTGTCCACAAATACTTGTGTTGGTGCTTTCTGCTCCACCTTCAACTCCTTGAACATTTGGCGCAAGTGAATTACTTCTTGTACCAGCAGGCTTAAAGCCATATACTCTGCTTCTGTAGTGTGTAATGCGACTGTCTTCTCAGTTTGGCTACTCCAAGAAACAGTACTGTCACAGAACTTGGTTATATATCTAGCCACAGATTTCCGATCGTCAACTCGATTCGCAAAATCTGCATCAGCAAAAGCATCTAGATGTCGATCTAGCTTTTGGCCTATCCACTCGCGTCCACCAAGACAAATGCCCCAATCCACTGTATCTTTCAGGTATCGTAAGCCTCTCTTTATTGCTTGCCAGTGCAACAGTCCAGGATTTTCCAAATATTGACTGCACTCACGCACTAAATAGGCCAAGTCTGGACGCGTACCAAGCATTAAATACATCATGCTACCAACAGCAGAGCGATATGGCTTCGAGCTCATCAGATTTTTCTCATCGGCACTTGATGCACACATACTTTTCGTCAACTTCAAATCTGGCGTACTTGGTGTTTTACAGCCATTGCATCCACTCATACCAAAACGTTCTAGCACTGACTTCCCGTACTTGTGCTGATTTATGAATATTGTTCTCTCTTCTCGATTTCGTGTGATCTCCCAGCCTAGAATGTAATGCAGCTCTCCAAGATCCTTCATCTCAAAACGTTCTCGTAACATTTGCTTCATTTTGTTGATGAGATTCATGCTGGGGCCAAACAAGATCAAATCATCCACATACAGTGGAATAAAGACCAGCTGCCCGTCAATTACTTTTACAGCCACACAAGGTTCACATTTCAACATAGTAAACCCCTGCTCTTCCAAGAAAGACTTCAAAAGTTGAAACCACACTCGTGGTGCTTGTTTTAAGCCATACAGACTTTTCAACAAGCGACACACCCAATCTTCTTTTCCTTTTTTCTTGTATCCTTCTGGCTGCTCCATATATACTTCAACATCAATTTTGCCATTTAGAAACGCAGTGGTAACATCCATTTGGTGTATTTCGTAATCCCAGACTGCGGCAAACGTTAATAGGACACGCAGCGTTTCAAGCCTGACCACAGGTGAGTATACCTCCAGGAAGTCAATACCATAGACTTGCATAAAGCCTTTAATTACAAGCCTCGCTTTGTATCGATCAATCTCACCATTCGGCAAATATTTAATTCGAAACACCCAACGGTTCTTCAACACCTTCATGTGTTTCCTGCGTGGTAACAATTTCCACGTGCCATTCTTAAGTAACGCTTCATATTCGGCATTTGTTGCACGCTTCCACTGCATATTTTGCTCGCACTCCATTGCTTCTTTGTATGTTTCTGGCTCAGTTACAGCACTCTCTGTCATGCAGCAATAGTCTTGCCACCATGAATTGGCATTTTCTTTTGCCATTGCGTGCTGAAGCTCCTCACGAGCTCTCACCCATTCAACAGAAGAAGAACACACAGATGTGCTTTCATTCTCAATCGCATTTGAATAACCAATATGAATGTGGTCACTTAACCACGGCGGTGGTTTACTCACCCGTCCACTCCGGGTTATGTAACCTTCTGCACTTGCACCTTTCGGAGCCACATACTCTCGCAGCCCTCTACATGAGGAAGTTGTCACGCCCCCCTTGCTTGAGAGCCCACGAGATTCTGCTGGCATCTTCGTGCTCGTGGTCGTCATCTCACGAGACACTGAAGTGGAAATTGCCTCTGTGCATGGAGCCTTTGATGGTTCTGATGCCGGTGCCTCGCACCGCGTTTTGCTCCTCTTACGTTGAGACTCAACAGTCTCGGAGGCGCCACTCTTGGTCCGACCTCTTTTCTTAGTGCATTTATTGCACTCACTAGATTGACTATCAGTCTCGGATGTGCCACTTGCACAATCTAGTTTGTCAGCGTGACCACTTTTGGCCCCACCTGACCGTGCATCACACTCTGTATCTGCCCCACCTGGACGGTCATCACTTACGATGTCATCAGCCCCACCTGACCGATGACCACCTTCTTTACCGTCACCATTATCGCTTTCAGCTTCGTGCATGTCTTCGAGCATGGGTTCGACATTGCTATCGATACCAAAATACTCATTGGTTGACACAACACGTTGATCAGAAGCACTCTGCTCTGATGCATTGCTAAGAAGCCGACCATGTTTATCTTCATAAAATACAACAGTGTGGCTGTAGAAAGATTTGTTGGTACTGCTATCCAACAAGCGATATCCCCTCTTCTCACGGGAATACCCAACAAATACAGCCTCTCGAGCCTTTGCGTCCAATTTACGCCTTTCCACTTTATCCACATATGCCAGGACTGCACATCCAAACGTTCTCAACCGAGCATACTCCGGGGATCGACGATGCCATACTGCATATGGAACTTCCATTCCACGAACTGTACTTGGCATAATATTCACATAATACGCTGCAGTCATCGCTGCTTCACCCCACAGAGCTTGCGGCAGTTTAAAGTGAGCAAGAATGCACCTCATTTTCTCCGTAAGCGTGCGATTCATCTTCTCTGCAACGCCATTTTGCTCAGGAGTGTGTTTAACAGTTGTTGTGCACTCCATTCCATATTTTGACTCACATCGTCGCTTTAAACACCTAAACTCCTTCGCATTATCTGTCCTTAATGCCTTCATTCTGACGTGATGCTGGGTTTTCACCATTCATAGTACTGCTCAAACTTCGCATATACGTCTGAGCGTTGCGTAAGTAGATACAAAGTCCCAAAACGACTTGCATCATCCACAAAAACAACAAAGTATCGTTTTCCACCGTAAGTTTCCACTGAATATGGTCCCAGATATCTACATGAGCCATTTCACCGACCAGCCATTCGCGTGACTGCAAATTCAAGCGTGGAAAATGGTGTCTGGCCAATTTACCTTTTACACACGTCTGACAGGTAAAAGGCTCTGGAACACGCAGTTTCAAATTCGATAGGGGCCACTGATCGTGACTGAACAGCGAATTGAGAACAGTCTTTCCTGGATGTCCTAATCTGGCATGCCACAGCTCCAACTTATGTTCTTGAATTGCACCTGAAGTAATTGCCATTGCTAAATACTGGGGTGACTCCAGCTTTAGGTGACACAAATTCGTTTCATCTAACTCTGCTGTAGTCGTACCATAACGAAGAATTACATCTGCAACATCTTGTCGATCAAAATGGACTTTAATACGCTCACTAATATCCACATCACTTTTCAACTGTCGATTCACCGAATAAAGGTTGCATTGCAACTCAGGAACATACCGAACACCACATAACGTCACTGCACAGCGACCTCGGGATGTTTGCAACTCCTTTTTAATAGTTCCAATTCCTTCAACACTCAAATAGTGTTTCCCAGCAACTCTCACACGTGCATTGAATGGGGTAAACTCCACAAAATCGGTCATTTGATTTGAAAAATGACTAGTTGTTCCAGAATCAATGTACCAACGATCGTGAGCCACTTTTGCTACCCCTTTGTTCATCTTTAACGCCTGAAGAATGACATACGCCTCCTCATCACTTTCATTGTAAACGCGCTTAACTGTCTCCTTTCCTCCACTTCTCGTCTTACTTTTCTTGTGTGCGCCTTCCTTTTTTTCATCTTCATGTGGACGCTTGCCAAGATACGGACAGTCACGTACTTGATGCGTAGTTTCGTGACAGTGGTAACAAGC